TTGTCTTCACCAACAGCTGGGCGGCTATGGCCGTCGTCGTCTTCCTCCTGCTGGCTATGGCCGCCGACATCTACCCCACTGGCCAGCTATGGCCGCTGTCTTCTTCACTACCCACTTCGTCTCCAGGCACCTGCAGACCTCCATGCACAAGACACCAAGGCAGCTCTTCCGCATGGCTCACAGGCRAATGAATGAATGGCTGGACGCTGCCTGTTTATTTATACTTCTTCGGAGGTACCCGGATCCTGCCTCCAGACCTGTGGGCCTGGGCCAAAACGTGTGGCCCAGGGAAGCTTCCAGACGTTTGACCTTCTGGGCCAAAACATGTGGAACTCTCTGCATGCTCCAGAACCTTCCCCACGTGTAGCCCTTACCCAGGTACATGCTGGCTGGAACCCCCCTACAGAACCCTACGGACTTCTGGAACCTACAGACTCTACAGACTTTTGACAGACTCAGTAGAGACTTCTAGAACAGGCTTTCTAGGCCTACTGGTAACAGACCTAGCTGCTAATCTACAGACCTAGGGATCAAGTCCTACTGACCAAACTACAGACTAACCTAAGTCGTAGGACAGGTTTGGGGCTGTCTCTTATACACATCTAGATGTGTATAAGAGACAGGACTAACCTAAGTCGTAGGACAGGTTTGGGGATCGAATCCTACTCAGGTCACGGGGTCTATGTACAGGTACAGGGTAGGTCTAGGGATCGAATCTCACTCAGCACACAGGGTCAATGTACAAGGTTAGGGCACAGGTCTAAGGATCGAATCTCTGTGACTGCAGTACAAGGTCAACTGGGTGAAACCGTTTCACTCCCGCCGTCCTAAATTCGAGGTCCTCCGAGAACCCTCTAACTCAAGGCAGGACCTTTACCTTTTCTTTCCCTCTTGTAGGCGTGTACTATGTCGGGAGCGGTTTTTAAAAGCTCTGTTCTTGTAAACCACCGGTCGTCCTCGGGTTCCTGGTATGCGAACCTAACTTTGTATTGTTTCTGGGGACGACCTCGGCCTCCTGTCCTAAACATGTCCTCTTCCACAATTCCCCCTATATCGTATGCGCCATCCATGTCTGGAGGAATCATCGACCTTCTGGAAGGGAACCTGTCAGACGTGGTGCAAGGTAACAACTTAGAGGCGTGGAAGACTGGGTACGTGTGAAGGTGTGCTGGGATCTCTATCGTATACGACGGGCCGTCCTCTCCTCCTTTGACTTTTAGGACAGGCCATGGTCCTCTATATACAGGTGAGAGCTTCTGCGAGATGTTTTCCTCCGGTGCGAACTCCTTTGACTTGACCCAGACTAGGTCACCTACCTGAAATTGTGAAGGTCGGCGGTGCTTGTTAGCCTGCTCTATCATGCGGTGTTGGGCCTTCCTCAGGTTGTTTGTGACCTTAGCAACCTCTTGCTCATGATGGAGTGCGAACTCTCGAGTACCGGGTGGAAGTCTCTGGATCTAATCCCGGTTTAGTCCTTCTAGTGGTCGCCTCGGTTTAAAAGACTTGTGTAGCTCATTAGGAGTCCGACAAGTAGCTAAGTGAACACTGTTGTTGTAGGCACTTGCTACTTTGGGGAGCAACTCGTCCCAATCTAGTTGATCTAGTCTAATGTACATTCTGAGTAGCTGTTGCAAGATCTTATTCATCTGTTTTGTCTGACCGTTAGTCTCGGGGTGTCGTCCTGACGACATCAACAACTTAGACCCATATACTTTCATAAGATCTTGCCAGTGCTGGCTGGTAAACCGCGTGTCCCTATCACTTACTATGGACAATGGCATACCATTCTCGCTTACCCAAAAATCAAAGAACTTCCTTATAACTAACTCTGTACGGGCCTCTGAAGGCAAGGGAACAAATACTGCATACTTACTAAATCTGTCTACTATGACCATGACTTGAGTTTTTCCATGTCTGCTTCTGACTCCAGTATCCATGAAGTCAATGGACACTGAATCTCCGGGTCCAGAGGGAATAGGCAAGGGTCTAAGAAGACCCAGGGGGGCTCTAGTCGTAGCTTTATTACGCTGACACACTTTGCAACTGCGCACATATTCTATGCAGTCTGCTTTTATGCCTGGCCACGTATAGGACGTCATCAGGTTAGCTAAAGTCTTCTGCCATCCAAAGTGCCCTTCTGTATCGTGGCATTCCCCTAAGATCAGACTACGGATCTCTTCACTATTGGGGACGCATAGCCTGTCAGCGACATTAGTCTTTTCAAACAGTAGCCCATTCGTGGTCCGGTAGTGTGGCTCACTATCTGGGGCTTCCCTTACTCTTTTGAGCAGCTCACTGTAGATTGGTTCCTATGCATAGGCATCTCTTACTTTCTGCTGCAGATCGGCCCCTATATCTAGATAGTGTACTATCGCACCGAAATAATCAGATCTCCTGCTTAGCGCATCAGCTACCACGTTGTACTTGCCTTTAACGGGTTTTAACTCAAAGTCATACTGGTCTATATCTCAGCAGCCCATCTTGTCAACTTGGGCGTCATCTTGGCCTATGTCTTTAGCCATCTAAGAGTCTCGTGGTCTGAATAAACCTTAAAGTGCCTCCCAAGCACGTAGTGTTTCCAGTGCTCTAGAGCCTGCCTGAGAGCGTAGAGTTCCCTCTCGTATGTCGATGCGACGACTTTCTCTGAAGGCAGTCGGGCTGACGTGAACTCTACGGGCCTATACCCGTTGCCGTCATCTTGCTGTAGAACGACACCTATGCCATACTGACTCGCGTCTGTAGTAACAACAAATGACAATGATGGATCGGCAACTTTTAGAACAGCGTACTCTATCAAAGCCTTCTTCAATTTCTTGAAGGCTGACGTACAATCCTGATCCCACTTCCAGATAGCTTCTTTCTTCAATAGTCTACGAAGGGGAGCAGCGATCGTAGAGAAGTTCCTCACGAACTTCCTGTAGTAGTTAGCCAGTCCTAAGAAAGAACGCAACTCTGTTAGTGTCTTAGGAGTTGGTCAATCTCTGATGGATGCTATCTTGCTGTCCTCAGGCCGAATGCCATCGCCGTCTAGTACATGGCCTAGGTAAACGACCTGTGTCTTGGCCCATTCGCACTTCTTCGGGTTAATCTTAAAGTTAGACTCTTTGAGCTTACTTAGAATCTGCCGTAGATGGCCCTCATGTTCCTCGAGGGTCTTGCTGAACACTAGGATATCGTCTAGGTAAACTACAACGAACCTATCTAGCCAAGGTTTAAACAAGTCGTTCATACAACGCTGAAATGTTGCGGGTGCATTAGTAAGTCCAAATGGCATCACTATGAACTCGTAATGCCCATACCTTGTCCCGAATGCCGTCTTATACTGATCGTCAGGGTGGACCTCTATCTGATGGTACCCTGATTTTAGATCTATCTTCGAGAAATATTTGCACCCCTGAACCTGATCTAGCAAATCATCCATACGCGGTAATGGCTCTGCATTCTTAATCGCGATGGCATTCAGTCCCCTGTAGTCAATACACATGCGCAACTCTCCCTCCTTCTTTGGGACAAACAGAACAGGTGCACTGAACGGCGATGAACTAGGCCGGATCCATCCTTTTTCTAGGAGCTCATCTAACTGTCTGCGTAGCTCCTCTAACTCTTTGGGAGACATCCTGTAGACTGCCCCCTTTGGCGTTCCACTGCCAGGTTCTATTTCTATTCGATGCTGGATCGGTTTAGGCACTACCCCTGAAGGTGGTTCATATAAATCCTTATATTCTTCCAGCAGACTAACAATAGCAGGATGGATCTTTTCTTCCTCCTTAGGCTGATCGGACACTAGCCTAACATAGGCCACGAACACCTGCTCTTCAAGTTGCTCCTATTGCACAAGCCTGGCGAATGCAGGAGCGCTGAGGCAGCAATGGGCAAGGGGATTATCTACCCCGGACTCATGGAACAGGCGGACTTTCTTGACTTCGCCTGACGCACTAGGGAGCGTACACTCATGCTCTCTGAGGTGAAGTGTGGCTCCTGCTGCCTCTCCCCAATCTGTGCCTAAAACTATGTCAAACGGGAGACTCTCTTCTACAAGGAGGGTCAGGGAGTGCAGTACCTTCTCTACCTTGCCATCTTTCTCCAGGCGAAAGTAGGCGTGAACTCCCTCAACATACTCTTCGACGCGCATCCTTCTATTGTCTGCAAGGATGCTGACCACAGGCTCTTCTAGTCGTTGGACCTTTAGGTTCAACTTCAACTTCCTCAGCGCTTTACGACTAATATAGCTCCTAGTCGCCCCGCTGTTTATGAGGGCTCCTACTCTAGCTCTAAATATCTCTACATCTGCGAGGATTAGTTGTCCTTTACTATCCTTCTTCATCTTGGCCCAGGCTTGCCTCCTCTCTCTCAGTTCATCGGCTAAGCCTGTGAGGGAAGCGCCTAAAGAGACCCTAACACAAGCGATCTCTGGACAGCTTACTAGACGCTGGCCTGCAACCTCTGCCATGGAAATATGTGGAGTGGGAGACCCTACTTCGCGGGCACGCTCAGATCCACATACTCCTGAGGTAGGGGCAGTTGCAACCCCTACCGGCGACTGTCTTTTGCTGCCCCAGATGCAGCACGGTCCCTATACTTAGGACAAAATTTGATAATGTGGCCCGGGTCCCTGCAGAATACGCATTGAGAACTATTAATGCGTTCTTGCCATACCCTTTGATCTATACCCAGGTCTAACCAAGGTCGGCCTTCAGGCCGGCCTGGATGCAACCTTCCTTGTCTGGGAGGTGACCGACTAGAACTCGGACGGTTAGACGGGGGACCTCCCCTTCCTCCCGCTTGGCAGTTGCCATAGCCGCCAACCCCGTAGCCGCCCTATCCTCGGCCACCCTGGGCCCAACCACTTGGGCCGGACCGTTGTCCTCCTTGCGGCCTCCCTCCAGCCGCGACAGCAGCGTAGGTTCTCCCCTGGCCTGCGCTGTTGTCCTCCTCTAATCCCCACGCGATGTCAGAGTAGGGAACCTCCTCTGCACCACCTTCCTCCATCGTTAAGATCAGACTATCTTTGGCCTTGATTTGGCTTGAGATGGTGCGTCCCTTCCACGTTTTTCCCTTAGACAGATCCTTGTGCCAGAACGTGGTAACTGGCGACGCTTGGGCGGCAAATGCAACTGCCTCCCGACTAAGTGTATCGTAAGTCATGCCCTGCTGATTCTTCTTCTCGAAGAAGTGTCCCTGAATATTTTCAGGCAGGGCGCGGTAGAAGAGGTTAAGGAGTTGCACATCAGTGACTCCATGTCAGGGACCGCAATCAGTTCGTCCATAGCGGACCTTAGCGCATGCACACTCTTCCACTGACGAGTGTGGATCATTTGGAGTTTGTCTGAGGCCTTCGAGTGACATCAAAAAATCGCTCCCTGAGGGCTTTCAGGAAGTCGGAGAGGGGTGTCAGTCTGGAGTATGCAACCATATCGTTATCGCAGTTGGCAGCGCGGGCTAGCGACCTAGCAAAGCTAGTTGCTTCGTCTCTAAGGGCCTGGAAGGCCACCAAAGTATGGTCTTCAGGTGTGACTCCCTGCAGATACAGATAGGAGTGCACATTGGCCTCCCAGATATCAAAATCTTCACCCTTCTTCCCACTGAAGGGTTCGGGAAATCGGACCTTGACTTTCTCGCGACATGGTGGGGCCGGCTCCTCTTCCTTAGGGGCCGCTAGCTTGGCGCCTTCAATGGCGCCAGTACAAAACTCTCGGATCCTATTAACCGCAATGTGCACTTCGGTCAGCAGGTAATTCATCATGTCGCACGCGAAGTCCTTGAACCCCGCGCGTATCGCGTCTATCTTGATGTCTTGACTGCGTTCGTACTGCATTTGTTCCCGCCGTGCGACTAATAAAGCCTCTACACTTTGGATCAGCGTATCTAGCTTGGTTGCTAGCTCAGTCTCCGCTCGGATCTTCCCCATCCTAACTTCCGCCGCTCTTAGGTCCTTGTCCGCCCTCTCTGCCGCTTCCAATCTCCTGACCCTTTCTTGGGATAACCGGTATCTCCACGCCATCCGCTGTTCCTCCTCCTTTGCCCCTCTCTTTACTGGATCCCTCTCTGCTTCTATTTGCCTCCTGGCTGCTTCTTTTTCTTTCTCGGGTACAGCCATCTCAGCCTCCTGGTCTTCCCCTAACTTCAAATGTGCGGCCCACTCCTGTGCCCTTTCCGCAATCTCCGCTTCTTTACTTGTGTTTCCTCCTCCTCTTCTCCTCTCTAGCGGTCTTTCTTCTTCTTCTTCCGCTTCTTTTTTTTTTCCTTCTTCCGCCTGAATAGCTGCCATCTTCTCCTCCTGCTCCTTCTTCCATCTTTCCATCTCCTCCTCCATCTGCCTCTTCTTTGCTTCCTGCTCCTCCAACAGCGCCAACATCTTAGCCTGTCTRATTAGTTCCCTCTTCTCCATCTTCTCTTTCTTCTCACGCAGAAGGGCGGCAGCTCTCTCCTCCTGCTCTTTGCTGTAGGGTGGTAACGGTTCCGGATCTAAGGGTCACCATGTTGACAACGCACAATTAACAACAATTCCACACCTCAACACTTAGACCGAACAAGTTACCTATACTTCGGGGATTTGGTTCACTACCCGAACTGAACTCGCGGTTCTATGACCACACACACAGAGTCCTAACACCCTAGACAGTAGTGACAGGGAGATAGGACTAACTGTCCTTGACAGACTCTATGCCGGCAAGTACCGGGGTGAAGGTACACACTCACGGGGTAAGGGATAGGCCAGGCTTGGGAAGATAGTACCGTTTGTCTTCTTGCTCCAGCTGGATCAACGCTCCGTCAACGGACTTGGTCAACTTCGCCGGTCAACGCTCCAGGTCAATGCGCTAGGCAGCTCCGGTCAATGCTCAGTCAACGCCCTAGACAGCCCGATCAACACTGGTCAATGCCTGCTCAACACCCGTGGTCAACCTTGGTCAACATCTGGTCAACTCTCCCGGTCAACCTTCTGACCTCCCGGCTATGGTGGACCTCCTTCTCCTTCACCTCAGCTATGGCTGATCTTGTCTCCCTCTTCGTCACTGTCTTCTTCCTTTCTTCTCTTTGCGTCTCTTCTTTCTCCCTCTTTGATGTTGGTCTTCTTCCCCGAACTCGACAGCTATGGCTACTGTCCCCCTTCCTCTCTCTTCCTCTCTCTCTCTCTCTCTTACTCTCTCTCTCTCTCTCTTACTCTCTCTCTCTCTCTCTCTCTGCCAAGCTCCGGCTATGGCGGCTTCTTCCTTCTTCCTTGTGTGTTGCAGCTCCGCCGGCGTGGACAACGGGTACCTGCTCCGATACCAGTGCAATCAGACTCAACTCTGGACTTGCTCACAACATGCACACTTGAGAACCGATGGCAAGACTGAACTCTTTCAACTCAAAAAAACAACAATGAGCTTGTCTTAAACTCAATCTTTACAGCTGCACAACTTGCGGCTATGGCCGCCGAACACGGTCTCTACCCCCAGCCTCACTCTCTCCCTCACTGTCTCATGCATGCACGTACGAGGAT